CTTGAACCCAGAAAAATAAGCTTGAATTGTTTAAATGTTTTTTTTTTAATAATATACAGTATGCATAATATATGTCTATAGATTATAGGTGGTTTATGAGTTTATGATATTTGCATAAGTTGGTTCGGAAATTGCTGAAAACCCATTCTACAGTCAGTGTTTCTTTTTCCGGCAAGTAACCACTTAACATTTAACTAAGTCCATGAGGACATCTAAGTAGATAGCTAAGTTGGTGAATATATATATATATATATATATTTTAACATATTATAACAAGTGGTACGGCTGATTGGTATATATATATATTATAACATATTATAACAAGTGGTAGCAATCACATCTTAAAACTAAAGAACACGTGCAAAATGATGATTTGACCAAGGCAAATTCGGAGATAAGAATAGATCATTCATGTTCGCAAAGTTGGTGAACATAATGAGTGAGGGTTTAACCAAGAAAAATATGGGAATGGGGATAGCCATGGTGTGTATATATATATATATACGTAGATAGATAAATGGATTATGTCAGCCAAGTGATAGCCGTTCGTTTGTTGCATCAAACGTGTTTGTATCTACGATGTACATGTTTGCATTTAAACTGACCCCTGCTTGGGCTGGTGAAGGTTCCGGTTAATTTGGTCGGACCAGGAGAGAGGAAGTGGAGGGTTTCTGTTTTTTTAGGTCCTGCGACTTTGATATGGTGATTTGGCACAATTTAAGCAGTAGGAAAAAAATATCGCTACGTTAATGTCTCTTGTTTAAGTTGATTTTCAATACACAACCTTTTTGAGCACTACTCCAAAACCATCAATCGATGATACTAACAAACGCAGAGTTTCACTGAAGCTGGAAGCCGCAAAAGCGGCCACCAATATGTTTTCATGTGGGTTTGTAGTTGATTTTCGTCAATCTTCAAACTCAGGTAGCACCCAGGTCAAATATGTTTCACATGTATATAGACAGTTCTCATCTATCTAGTGTAAAAATGTTCCTGGGGACCCCAAAATTATTAATTATATTTCTCTAAGAAAACAGTTGTTCTGGAAATGTTTTTTGTCACCCACAGTCCCTGAGAGTTCCGGGTGCAGGACTTTGCGTACCCCACGTGCTGTGAGGGGATGCCATTTTATCAAGTGCGGAGCCTAGGGGATGATCGAAGGCTGTCTTTGGGACCCAATTGTAACTGCTTTGCATGAAACGATTCGAAGGGTTATCTTCCCTAAAGCAACAAGTGCCTTCGCGGAGAACCTTGCTTTAGTACACTGGATTGGTTCGTTTTGGGCTACCATATTGGAGGTACGGTATGTTTTCCGAGGAATGAACGGTTTGGTTTTTGGGAACACTCTGCGCTTGGAGAAAGCAACATCGCTTCCAACTTTGGACCCACATGGATTGACATAGATTCATAGAACATAAGTCAGGCGTTTGCATTTGTTTGTGGTGGATTTCCTTGGGGTTGCTCTTTGATCTCAAATTGCATCAGAATCAGTGCCATGAAGTTCAACATCTCAAATTTGCTTGGTGGTTTTGAGATGTTCTTCAATCATTCACGTCATGATAATCCCAATTGACGAATATATATGTAAATCGAAGGTATTTCTTTGCGATGAACTTGGGACATTTTGGGGCCCCCCATGACGACATGTTTGACTTGTGAAGGATTTGACCATGGACTGCTTGTAATTTATTTTCAGTTCCGGTTCCGATAAACAATAGGGTATGACTGAATTTAGATCATTTCATTGATCTTTGAATTAGCCTTTGGTAATTTAAGTGGCATAGCTATGGAATCTATGGATAATGGTCCATTTGGTTCTATATCATTCGCTGCCTTTCCAGGAAGCCTGGCGTGGAGTACACCAATTGCTGCCAAGTGTCATTGATGCCAGACGTCCGGTGTCATGAAATGTGGCGGGTTGGGAAATCCACTATAAAATATGGGAAGATGATGGAAAAACACACGAGAAAATATAGGACATCCATGGAAATCCTAACTGGATGGTTTAATCAAAAAAATCAGCTCAAATAACGGATTTTCCATTACCACGTTTGATGACCTGATGGTAAATTACAGCGACCTCAAGACGATTTATTCTGGGGAATCATGCCCAAACTTTACTCAGAGCTTGTGAACTGAAGAATGTGGCACGTTTTTTCAAGTTCCAGCATTTGGAAGTAGAAGATTGCAGGTTACCCCAACTTGTGTGGTACATTTGCGGATTTTATGGATATTTTATTGCACTTTGACGATCACAGTTGGTGCAATGTCACCCTGGATCACTAAACTTTGTTGATCCATTGTGGTATTTACCGACAAAATAACGATAAATTGCGAGGACATTTGGTACCCGCCGATAAGTAAAGGCCCTGGATCAAAGTAAATTAGGAGGACCTCACTGACACATCACTGTAAATGATGATGAATGTAAGGGTAGCTATCCCAAAACCGCGGAACTCTTCAGGTGTGTAAATCATTAGAATTCGTTAATTCAGCCAATGTCACCATTTGTTGGCTTTACATGGTCGAGTCTTACTATCCTCACAATTATCCACATCACACTGCATAGATTTCAGCCATAAACTGCAATATCTCCTGTTTTATTTGGTCGATGTATTATATTTGAGCACCACTTGTCCCGTGGGAAGTTCGTGAAAAAAATAGAAAACACCCTTAACATTATCCGTGGACAATTTAATATAGCTGTGGACAATTTCCAATTATAGATTATCTATACCCAATATATATATATAATTATATATATATTTATTATTATTATTTATTATTCTTATTATTATTATAATTATGTATTATTATTATTATTCTAATGGTGATTTTGCCACGCTGCTACACTGCAAGTTGTCTTAGCTGTCTAGCTCTATACAGCATTTGCCGTTGGAATTTTCTCTCTTAAAGATAAGATGATTTTCCACTTCGCAAATTGTGTAATATGTGGTTTAAACAATAATAAACAATCCCCAAAATCACCATAAATGGGTTGTACGTTTACCATTCCCAGTCATGGGTGGTTTATTGTTTTAACCACATTACCTGACCAGTGACCGGAGCTTTTTTGGGGACACTGAGGCCTGGTCCCTTTTCACATCGTGAAAGATGCCCCGGTGAAGCTCAGCGCTTCCTTGGGTTTGCAGGTCCGGTCACGGGAGCTGAAAACAGGTGAAATCCAACAAAGAGATGAAAACTTAAGAAAAAAGAAAACCAACGAACAAATAAGTGGTGCATTTTTCTTTCCAGGATTTTCCAATTTTCCATAGATATTCTGAGATGCTCATTCGAAGAAACTACTCAAGAATAAGAACCCGTGTTTGTATGGACTTGTTTTGGCAACGGCAACTTTTCAGGTGAGAGAACATATTATTTAGTTGCATCTGTTGTGGGATTGCTGAGCGGCCGTCATGGAAGTTCAAGCATTTCTTGCGATTTATTTGCAATTGAATAAGTACATGTAGAATCATGGCGTGGCTTCCCCATGCTCAAAATAATCAATGTATAAGAGCCAGCAAAAATATAGACATCATGACACAGTGAACTCCTAAAACGGTGATTTTTTATTGTGATAGATGATGATCAATGACTCTTTGTTGAATCGATTTTAATCTGTTTGGGCTGTTTGGGGGCCTGTTTGGGAGTTAAGTTACCATGATTTCCAGCCATCCCGGTCAGGATGAGTTCAAAGCCTCAGCTTGGAGACAGATCCACAAGACGCAACGGAACGTGGAGAAAAGTGTGCTTTGGATGTTTATTATTGATATTCACTAACAAATATATATATATACATATATATATACAAGAAACATGTACTACATTTATGTATATATATAAATATATATATATATAGATCCTATAACAAATTGAGATTCATATCTCTCAGAGTAACTGGGACGTAGATTCAACATGTCCGATTCAGCGGATTTCTTTTCGGAATTTGACCAACATGGGGAGTCTTGCAGCCAGCAGAGCAGTTTTGATCAGCCGACACAGTTTTGATCGCAGCTACGGCTCCACCATGAGTGGCACAGGATGGCAATGTCGGCTTTTCAGCAAAATTTTAGCCCTGAGCAGCCTGGGCTCATGCCAAACCACCCAGCTACACTTCCCTGAGTCGGGCCTCAGATGCGGCCGCACGTCAAGAGTGCCAAACATGTCCAAAAACGAAACATCCCAAGTCAGCACCAATAACATCCAACAACCGACGATTAACATCATTAACATCCAGTAACATCCAGCTTCACCATGATTTCGCCATATTTCGCCCATCACTGGAACTTCTTGGCTTCCCGAAACCTTTTTAGCCACGATCCAGCTTCACCATGGCGCCTAAGATGAGCATCCTGGACTACCGCACGGCCAAGATGGAGGCCAAGCGCCTTGGCGATTTTTCGGGTTTTTTTCGCCAAGGGCAACGTGGGGAACCAACGTGGGGAACCACTGGGGTAGCCGAAGAAGGTGAAAAAATCACAGGCACTTGGCGTTTGGAAAAATCAGCTATGAAAATCAGTTATAGGCTATAAATGTATGAAAGGCGGATTGTACATTGCCATGTTTGACCATCAGAGGGTCTAGGGTTGGTTGACGTGTGTTTTCTTGTTCTCAAACTTTCAAAAAGTTGACTCAGTGATGGGATGCGGTTTCCTTGCTGTTTCTAATGTTGTCCAATATGTTCAGGGTTAGTTAGCTGCAGTAGTGTGGATAGCAGGAGCGAAACGGTTTGCAGCGACTTGTTGATGCGCTACATGATGTGATCTTGTGGGGACCCCCAAAAAATCCAATGCCTTGTCTGAAATTAAAAGGTTTGGCCATACTTGGCCCAATTCTGCCGGGACCTGAATGATACCCTCTGGCTATTTAACATAGCCATGGGAAATGGCCCATTTATAGATGGTTTACCTATTAAACATGGTGATTTTCCATGGTTATGTTAAACAACCAGATGGTACAGCATGGTGCAACCCTTCCGAGGATGAACACAGTGGGCTTCGAATCTGGAGGAATGTGACTTGGCTCATAAGACTCGCTAGGCAGGTACAACATGCTACAACCCTGCACCACCGGACCTGCCTACCCCAAAGCCCTTCAGATTTGGGTTTCGACTCAACAAACTTGACCTTTTTCTGGATGAACAGAGTTGAACTGTGCTGCAGATTTGCGCATTTTGCGCGCCCTAAAGCAAAATCAACGATCAAGGCCACACCAGAGTTGTTGTTCCATTTGGATGCGTCATTTGAGTCAAGTCATCGTTTGGACGGGTGTATGAATATATATATATATATTATACATAATTATGCATATATATATATATATTTGAAACATGACACCAAAACATGATCGACCACAGGAACATAACATGTTCGGTGCGACCCTGACGTTGCTCCGCGCCGGAATTGCGGAAGGGTTGCGTATTTTTAAAATGCCATGTCGGTGGACTTTCAACGTGTAGATGTATAATCCATGACCATGATCATTATCATCATCATCATCATCATCATGATCATCATCATCCCTTATGAAGCTAAGTTGATGCTATTATCAGATTCAGCATATTTGCCACAGGGGGTGGAGCATTGTTTGATCCCTTCTTTGAAATATGTTGATGTCATTCCTTATTCAGCATATTATTTGTCAGAGCGAGTGGTGGATTTGTTGATCCTTTATGAAGCTAAGTTGATGTGATTACCCCATTTAACATATTTGTCGGAGGGGGTGGTGCATTTTTGGCCCCTTATGAAGATAAGTTGATGTTATTCCTTATTCACTGTTTGTCAGAGGGGGTGGCGGATGTTGATCTCTTATGAAGATAAGTTGATGTGATTACACCATTCAACATATTTGCCAGAGGGGTGGTGGAATTGTGTTCCCCTATGAAGATAAGTTGATGTGATTACACCGTTCAAAATATTTATCATAGGGGTTGGCAGATTTATGACCCCTTATCAATATAAGATACATAAATTGATGGTATTACCCCGTTCCACATGAGTTGACGCTGTTGGTGATGACGAGATGATGATGATGATGATGATGATGATGATGAACATGATGATGATCATGATGATTGTAAGTGTGGAGCAACGTCCGGGTTGGACGGAACATGTTTAATGACCGACCAAAATGGTTAACACCACCAACCAAACACACTGAATGAAACCAATAGTCTGTTAACGTTTGTTCATGTTCAACCATAGAAATTCGGATGATGACGCCCAATGTTTTTTTTCCTCCAGGTTGGCTGAACCACCAGATGCCTTTGCTGTTTTCTGACCTCTGTTTCCCGGAAAGTTGATTGATCATGCTGCAGTGTCATCATATTTTGTATATGAAGCTATTGGCTAGGTTTCCTTACTATGGATGATCAGAAACATAGGTTTCATAATCCCCAATATTTTCCTATACTCCTTTTCATATTTTTAGGTGAATCCTCATTTTCAGACGCGAACACCCCAATCGCCGAGGCCAAAGCGCATGCAAGGAACCAAGCCCAATAATATGGAGCCTTGGCGCACTCAACATGCCACGACAAAAATCGAGGGGAGTTTGATGAGTTTGATGCGGCTTTAGGTGGATCAGGTGGCTTGATAGGTGCCGGGTAAGCTAACAGTTTGCTATGGAAAATTGACAATTACAAATGATTTACCTGGTTTACCGATATTAGACATGGTGATGTTCATAGCTGTGTCGTCAGTTTATGAGGTATCCCCATTGTATCACCGGGTGCTCCCAAAGGGGCGAACTATTCGGTTGTGGGCCCGATTGCCTGGTCACCAGGTGAATACAATCTAGGTTGGATCCATCCCCCTGTTCAATGAGTTTGCTGCCAGCAAAATCTACAGACAACCAGGGTTTCCAACAGTAGATACTGGGTTTGCCTCCTCAGTTTCCCTTCATTTGATTCTGAAAGACCTGAAAACCTGGTCTGTTTGGGGGATCTTTTTGGATCGTTGTGCAAGGATAGCTACAAGAGCCGCTTCGAAACCATGGGACTGGCGTTGGGTCCTGAGCTGGCGCTTGGTAAATCAATACCCTGGCAGATAGGGCTTGGAAGATGAGTTTCCACTAACAAAGATGTGTTTTTTCATTGATTTTCATCGTCGAACTGTAAAATTACCAAAGGCTACTTCTTAAACTATAGTTTGTCTATGTTTGTCTATTTTTTGGCGGTGGAACTGTGCCATGATTTGGAAATAAGGTGGTTGATCCCAACAAGGTGTTGAGGTTTGCTGTCATAGTGGTGCCCACGTGCCAGGACATGCGCGGGTGCTAGGAATTACAGCCAAGAGGGACGTGACCTAACGCATAGAAGGAGTGCCAGTTGGTCAGATTACTTGGGTATTGTTGTAAATAATTGTTGGAAGAAGGAGCAATTCGCAATTCACTAGGGGGCAGATGATGCTTGCTGGCAGTTCACATATATATATATAATTATGTTGTTTTTATTGATCATTATATAGTCTGTTATCATTAGCGGGATGTTTCTGAGCATCGGAGAACCCATTTCACCATACTTGGGGCTGCAGTTGCGGTTATCAATGGATCTGACTATGGTTCGAAAAAGCCAGAAGTTAAGGGACAAACGGTTATAAACTGGACATATGTCTTCAGAAAAGTGTTTTTTTTGTCAAAAGCCATAAGTTGGGATGATGTAACCCTTACTATGGCTGGTTGGTGGTTTGGAACATTTGTATTTTTCCATATGTTGGGAATAGTAATACCAACTGACGAACTCCATCATTTTTCAGAGGGGTAGGTCAGCCACCAACCAGCATTATTAACAATCATTAACCATATAATAACCATTAATATTGACCATATATTAATAGTATATTAGCCAGTACTATGGTGAAAGATACTGATTTCAACTGGATTTGCACCGGTGATTCCGCCACATTCAGGTCCGGTGGTTCCGCCACCTTTGCCAAGTCGTTGCAAAGCAACGCCCAGGCGTTGATTTGAAGCAGCAAAATCTGGTCAAACCAAATGTACTTTTCAACTTGCAAAAGTTGGATTCAATCAACTGAACTGAGTTGAGTTTAAGCTGACAACATTATAATTGGAACTTATGAGCTAAATTTCAGTTTTTAACTGGCAAGAGTTGGGTTTAATTTTATCAGCAAGATTGGATGTGAATAACCGCACTTTGGCCTACTGGCGCAACATGTTCTTAGCAAACCAAAATTGAGATTTGAACCAGCCAAAGTTGGATTCACTCAAGCAAACTGTTGATTTTTACCAGCATCTGTTTAATTAACGAACCTCTGGATTTTATCACCCACCATATATGGTGATTTAATGGATTGGATTGAATCACGTTTTCTTCTCCCTGCAAATTTCATGGTCTTCATTACAATTCACTGTGCTCGGCTTCCTCGTAATTCCTCTTGTCGATCATTATAGCGGAAAAAACAAACTATAATAAGATAAGATAAAGGATCACTACTAAAACATCATGTAATGGCATACTCGGATTTTTCTAAAACATCATGTAATGGCATCCTCGGATTTTTATTCTTAGTGTTATGTTGACGTTATGTCATAAACAGAAACCTATTAACATCTATTAAAAACATAGAATTTCCACGAGATTTCCCACCTGGTCCCAGCAATCCATGGTTCTCCATGCAGGCGACAACGCAAAAGGCGATTGCCCTCGGCGAGGCGAGTGGATGGGGCTGATCCATGCTGATCCTGGATTTCCCATGGGAACAACTGTTGAACCAACTGGAAGGCTAGTTGAATCATGTTTAATCCGTTATTTGTTTAACTGGTATAAATGGAATATAACTAATATAACATTAAAATAACCAGCAAACGATTTTACAGTTTTGAGGGGGCTATCATTGACCATGGAAAGATGGGGGTTTGATTATGAAAATTAGGCATTTTTCTTTTCGGATATCATGGTCCCCTATATGTGATATAATTATATATACTGGATATTAACTCATTCAGTATCATTCAGTACTAGTTATACTGTAAATATTATAATGGGACATGCCGACTTCATTTTAAGCGAAGATGGGGATCTGATCGGGAATTGTTCTCCATGAACAAGGTGGCCTGGAACCTTTGGGGAACCGGAGAAACCTTGGTTTCTGACGTTGATACTATGTGAGTTTCCTACTAAATGGTGTTAACACGAGTGGCTCCTAGTCTTGCAGGCCACGATGTGTGGAGTATGCTGAGTATGCTCATGTGTTGTGTTCTTGTTATATGCAGGGCGTGACTGCAGTTGCGTTTTTGTTGAATACATGGGTGAATGTAGCCAAGATTAACACATGCGACCAGAAACCTTGGTTTAGTCGTGGATTTCTGATATCTTTCTAAGGCTGAGATGGGATGAATCAATCCTGTCCTCCAAGGTGCTCGTAAAGCGTTGCGTGATGTACCCTTTGGCATCCTCTGGCTCTGTAACGGTTTGCGAACTGGAACATTATCATTTCAATAGGTAAATCATCATGTTCATCATCTATTTTAAATGAGCTATTTTCCATAGCAAACTGTCACACAACCAGAGGGCACATGGCAAGCCACATGCATTTTGTTTATCGCAATTGCACTTGCTGAACTCTGGTGGTGCATTTCTTTGTTTGTCCTGTCTCATGTTCCACATGTGCCCCCCCTGAGTTGGGATCAGAGCCAAGCCTCTTGATATCAAAGACACGATGTGACTTTGTGGGGTGTTCCGAACCAGATGGCTTTAAATTGCCACTTTGATAATTAGGAAGCATATGGAAACATGTAATGAGTTATATCGATGTAGAATGATGTTTACATGTGTATACATATATATATATACATATTGTTTATATACATCCTTGTATCCGTATCCGATCTTTGTGGCATTGCTATTGCCGCCAAAATTGCGCATGACAAGGCCATGGGTGCAGGAGGAGCACGAGTTCCTGTGGTGCCAGATGCAGCCACTTGCAGATGGGAATCCCTGAGCGAAAGAGCTTTCAATGTGGGTAAAACAATGACCATCCCCCAGTCATCAACTATTAGATTTTTAGGAACCACTACTATATCAACCACTATTAGATTTTTTTAGGAACCACTATTTTTATAGGAACCATCATTAGATTTGTTTGAAACCAGTATATCAACCACTATATCATGAACATCCCCCAGGAAAATCGCTATTTGTATACATAGGTGGTATAAACCATTCCTAGTCATGGGTGGTAAAAATGGCATTGTTTTACCCACATTAGTGGGACAACCCTTCGAACTAACTGGGGACCTAGCTGGATTTTCCAGCTAGCCATGATGACACGGGAGGATACCTCGAAATTTAGGGGAAACCACCAAAATGCACTGTTTTTTGGTCACGTTCTCACAATATGGTGGCAATTGGGGGGGCATACCGGATTCTCAGACTCCCATATAGATCATCCGGGAAAAGACACACACATATGGTTTGTCAAACAAAATCAATCACGGTGGTCAGTTTTCGTGGTTGGACACCTACGAGCTGGTGCCGGTAGTTATGAGTTTCGTCTAATTAGTTGTAACCCAACTTAGCTATAAATCTGTTTGAATCTTCCTTGTTGATGCTTTTTGTTGGCATTTCTGGTGAATGAATTTCCATTTTTGTGGGTCCCTGGATTGAAATATCTTATATAATTATACAGTTTTCATTCGCCTTTTGTTCACCCCAGTGTCCGAGGGCCGAACCATGGAAAAAATGCTTGAGAAATTTGTGCGCAAAGCTCAGCATGGGCCAAGCAAACTTTGTCCTTGTCCAAACGTCATGAGAGCCCGAAAGTCTGCGAGCTGCAATCTTTTGAGGAATAGTCAGCTGGAAAAGCATGCAGTTGCTGCTGCAGAACGGCAAAACAAAGAATTTAAAAAGGCAGGGGGCACTTTCCCGTTCACGGGGGCGTCATATAGCTGTGGCCTTGCAGTAGGAAATTGGAAGCCAGATTGGCAACCACAAAGCACCACGACATGGGTTTGGAAGATTTTGGAAGGTGATTCTCCGTTTGCAAATGTATGTATATATATATATTTGTGAGTAAAATACGTGTGCATGTTGATACTTGCCCTATTGAACATGGGCCATGGCCATATGCTGTTCTGCATGCCGGCCTGGGTAAACTGGTCCCTGGTCCATTCTGCAGTGCAGGAGGAGAAGAAGAAACACAAAAAGAAAGACAAGAAGAAGGACACATTTGCTCAGCATCACTTTCGCTGTCAATTAGGGATATCAGGAAACCACCCCAAAATGAGCTAAACCGACATTTCAGGCTTGTTCTAAAGCCTACAGTAGAGATTTTAGCAGAACATTACAGGACATGTCTTGATAAAAAAAAAGGGTAATTGCTTTGAAAACTACCTTCTAGCACCCCCAACTTTGGCTGCTAGACTTGTTGGGTCTCTTCTTGTTTTCCCTGAGGCCCCACATCCCACAAGATCAACGGCAATTGTAGTCTAATCCGCGGCAAAGGAGGGGTCCACAAATGGAAGAGCCAGTCTATTCCACTGCGTTGGATGTTGAAAGGGGCGATCAACAAACTATCAAGTCACCCCATGCCCACCTAGACATGTATTTAAGGGCAACATTTATTATATATATATACACGGTATATATATATATACATGTATATCATGATAAAAAATGATAATTTATATATATATATATTCTGCAGTTACGCATGCTATTGAATAATATTATACTCTCCCAACATCCCAACAACCCTGGCCAAACATCTTTATCAATCCCGGCGTGCCCTGAAAAACGTGGCATGGGGTGCCAGGCTCACAGCTTAATGCACGGTGATGTCTTGTTTGCCTGGAGGTTTAGAAACATAGGAATCTGACCACAAAAAATAAGCACAACAATGTCCGATATGTCAGCAAATTACATCATACTATGCACGTGTCATTTCAATGGGTTCAAGTTTCATAGAAGACAAAACATCATCAAAAATCATTCCTGTGCCATTTCTTTTCACCGAGCCCATCCGAGCCGGCCCCATTTGAGCGGTGTCCATGGAGGCGCCGGAGGACAGCGCCCGATCCCTGCGAGTCCAACTGGCACCCCAAGCGCCGGGCAACGCGTCCAGATCTGAGCGCTTTAGTGGCTGGGACTAGGTGGGAAAGCGATGGTTTCATGGTGATTTACCCAAGAGAACATGGTGGTTTAATGGGGGGTGAATGGGGTAAACCAGCCACTTCAAGGGAATAGCATGGGGTATAAGTCGGTATAAGTAAGAATTTGAGAGATGGGTAACTTGTTGGTGGTTCCAGATGTGTGTTTCAGCCATATTTTTCAGGGGTGGCTCAACCACCAGCCAATTCTAGTCCTGTGGGCTCGCGTCTCCATAATCATCGATTAAGGTTGAAATACAAGCCTAAAATGCCTATGATCATCATCGATCAAGATTGAAATACACGCCTATATGATCCTATATGCCTATGATCAATTTCTGGGAAATCTGGAATGTCAAACCCAGATTGGTAGACATTGGTTGGTGAATCAGGAGGCTCTCATTGGGTACCCTGCAGGGATGAGACCCACCAAGGGGAGCCAATGGGACCCTCGACCTTAAAGGAACCATAAATGGTGAGTTACGGGGGGGGTTTAATGGGTTAATCAACGATTTTATAGGGAGATAAGGGGAAACACGGAATCTATGTTTGGGAATGCCTCATTTCTTTGGGGAAGATCAAGATTCATTTATAGAATTGTTTGAAAGGGTATGTAAGTCACAGACATGTTTCCTTACATCAGTTCATTGATTAATGCAACTTTGCTGTTCCAACCTGCGACCCTCACAAAGAACCTGGTTTTGAGAAGGGATGAATACGGTAAAGAACTGGTTTGCGCTTTGGTTGGTTTTTAGGGCTGAAATGATACATGATGATAAATAATTGAATAAATGATAAAAATCGATTGATTCAATCGTACACATGAAGACAAGCACAAATCTTGCTGTTTCTGTTTTTTTGTTCGGGTATATTTCGAGCGTTCCTCATCCACGAAGCCAAGGTTATGAACCTCCGTTGAGAACTACTTACCCACCAGTCGTTGAATTTCTCCGACGGCATGCCTTTTCTGCATTCATTTTTGCGGTATTTTTGGGTACTGCAGTGTTGCTGGGACTCTTGGTGAATCCACTTTGTCTGGGAATCGACTGGGTGTTTTTTTTGCCGGTACCCTTTGGATCCCTCGCTTTAACAAATGGAGAATCACAATTTTTTAATGGGTAAATATCGGATAATTATATTATATGAATTATCTATAAATGGACTATGTTTAATTGCTCGAGGGTACCTTTTTCACACAAATCCCAGGAGTGGAGTATGAGAAGATTTCACACAATGACTCTGGTCATGGCCATGCAGACTTTATACGTTTAGCAAAACTCCTATCCGTGCCCTTGGTCTGTCTCCTCTTCACGTGGTTTCACGTGTCTGGGTGGCGTTCAGCCAGCCTATGTTTCAGCGTCTTTCAGGACCCAGAAACACGATGTAGGGTCATATAAACCCACTATAAAATCGTATTGTCCTGGTCTCCTCAAGCACCAAAATTTGTGTTAGCATAAATTCTACTCCATTTCGGCCTCTACTAATGTTTGATTTCAACCTTGTTCCTAGCTTTGTAGCATCCATTCCAGGTGTGGTTGGCCCTGCAGATGATGTTCTTCCCCATTGACTTTGTCGGGATTCCCTCGCGGCCCATCGTTCCGAGCTGGTTTGGCTTGCCCATCAACGGCTGGCAGGGCATCGTACCCAGGAAGGCGGAAGTCATGGCCAGACGGGCCTGTGATCGGATGATTGGAAACATTGTGACCATTGAGGACCGGCGGATGTCCACGGCTTGTAATTGCATCCATGTTGTACAGCAACCCCCAAAAAAGGATGGGAAAGTCAAATCTCAATAACAAATGTTGTTAATGACTGTACTATAATTAATTACCTATTTTTGGGGCTTACAGGCTTTCAGTATCTTACAGTATTGTATTTGAGATAACATGAGATGCCGCTACAGTTTTCGTCTACTTCGTTGGCCAAATCCAATCAAATCCACACTACCCTCCCGTAATCAAGCATGGCTAGCTGGAAAGTTCCCTGTTTATAGATGATGTTCCCAGCTATAAACATCTATCTAGTTTGGGAATTTCCCAGCTAGCCACGTTTGATGACACCACAGGGTAGCTCCTCCTTAAATCCCATGAAATCACCATTTCAATCCCATGAAATCTCATGATTTTCATGGCATCCAGACGCATATCTCTGCTCCAGGAATTTATGGACCGCATCGAACCCAAACACTTCTTCGATACTTTAGAAGAGCTCATGGGGGGGTTGTGCCTGGATCCAGAAACCGGAAAGTTGATGTTGTTTTTTTGCTTGTACATGGTTGTATTTTTTTTATATGCTATAATGTTACATGAACGAATAAAGACTTCACTGCGACCGCCTTATTTCAGGCCAATAGTTACATGGTGGTTTTGGCTGGTGCCGTGGAATGCCATGGAACCCCATCCTTTGTGTTTCAGGAAGAATGGCTATGACCGGGAACATTTTAACTATTTTCCAGAAATCTTAAGAACCTGTAGATTCTGTAGATGAATTCTGACTCTAGTCTGATCATAGTGAACCCAATAAGTTTCTAGATGAACTCTGTCCCTTTTGAATGGCCCATGGCCATGAGTAGGAACATGTAGGAACTAAGAATCGACGTGATTTCAGTCACCCAAAATCGTGAAACTATATGCTCTTCGATTTTTTTAGACACCCACATCTTGCACGAACATGAAGTTGAGAAAGATGAGCATGGTGAGCAAGGTGTGGTGATTTCCTGATGATTCCAGGCACTCTGTCCCTGAGTCCTTCAGACGTTCCGTCTTCGCCGTCCCCGTCAGAAAAGGACAGACGACTCGGACGACTACACACTTCAAGTCGTGCAGAAACCAACAAGTGCAACTCCAGAAAAAATAGAAACAAGACATGAGTTCGTCTCTAAAATAAGCGTGGCCCTAGGCCCTAGATTATTTGACTGTTCCTTGGGAAATTATCATGAACCTTGAGATTTTGGAGTTCCCACACTTACTACAAAGCCACATGTCGACCTATGGTTGGGTTGATAGATCATCCGCATTATCATGTCCCAAAGAATATCACCATGATAGTTTAATCCCCATGTATATAATTATATAGAGAAATATGTTTCAAACTAAAAAAACTAAAACCCATTAGTCCCATGGTACCCCCATGTGTCTTGAGTTCATACCCCTAAAATGTTGGACAAATCACAATTTCAATCCCATGGTTGGTTCGTGCGGTTGGTTTTCTCATGAACCCTTTCCCCATTGCAGGTGCTTTCAAGTCCTTGAGAAGATCATGCTGAAGCACCTGCCTACTGTGTGGCAGATCCTTCCCGAAGCGGTTCAGTTGGAATTGAAGACAAAGGTCTTGGAGGACACCAAGGCCCTCTGTGGGGGAACCAGATGGGTAGGTCAGGTAGGTATGGTGAAACCACCATTTTTGCCCAACCATGGTGCCTCAAGAAACTTGATGAATTTGGCCTCAAAATTAGGGGTGAACAAATTGGTGGTACTTCTGGAGTCTTACCGCTGGCTACGCGCACACACACACACACACATATATATATATATATATACACATACGTTATTTTATACGCACATAGACAGATAGAATATATCGTGATAAATGGGAATAGGTACTGACTAGCTATGTTTTTTTTCAGGGATTCTATGGTTGGCCAAGCGTGGTGCTTTTGTCAATTTGTTGCTTGCAGTTTACCCCCCAAAAAAAGGGGCTTTGCCAAGGTGCCTGTCCTGTGGTCTTGTTTTCACATTTCCTGGATCAAAGTCCACATGTTGGAGGGAAAAGCAAATAAGATCCAAGATAGACTGATACAAGAAGCCCCCCCCCAAAAAAAGTAAATGCTGTGGTAGCATGATGATTCTATTGGACTTCATCCAGAAACAAAGGATTTAGACAATGATGGGCCTCTAAGATGTGTGCTATGCCCACACTGAATTTTTACAGGGAGGCAACAGCAGAAGGATGTCACCAAGCTGCTAAATTTGGCCACCACAAACCGGCCACAACCCCTATGGGGGGGTGGGAAGATCCAATAGCTGGATAGGTCAAATCGGGGAGTCTTGCTAGATGTTAGACCTTGGTTGACTCATTGGGGCCCCCGGAGTTTCATTTGCCAATGATTCCAAACCACAAGTGAGGCAAGTGAGGCAGTGGTTGAACTCGGGGAAAGCTGGGTTGACCACACGGTCACATGTTATTCATTTTGATCCAAGAGTTTGGCCTACAGCACCTCTTCATCATTAGAATCATTTACCCTCTGGTAATTTATCATAGCTATTGAAAATGGCAATTTATAGTGAGTTTTCCCATTAAAAATTGTGATTTTCCATAGCTATGTTAGTTTACCAGAGGGTAGGAGCTCTAAAAAAATGTCGGCATGCCCTTTTTGAACGACACACACGCCCACGTCCAGACAAATGTCTTAGGCAAGTTTCGGCGATGCTATGATGGAACTCCGGGGCAACATCAGTTCCATTCTGGATTTGCAGCAGATGTCCGTAGACACCTTTGTGAACAATCCTCGGATGATGGTGGAGATGTTTCGATCAGTGGCTGTGAATGAGCTGACTTTCATCCAGCGGATTGCTGCATTCATGGGATTCTTGCTGGGTTTGGTGCAAGTGCTGGTGTATTTGCTCTTGGAAAATGTGGCTGGCATGGACTACATCATGCTTCCGGTCTCTGGTTTGATCATTGGATACTTCACCAATTGGATTGCCATCAAGATGATTTTTCGACCAGTGTGGCCTCATCAGTACTGCAACGGCAGGACGCCGGTGATCAGATGTTAAGCTATGGATCACCAGCGATATGCCCGTCAGGTCCCAGATATCTCGTGATATGCCACGAGACATTGAACCATACCGTGTTTTTTCTCCATGTGTGATTCTTTTTATTGGGGTAATTCAACCTTGTAAGTTCGTCTCCGATGCTTGTTGGAAATTGCGTCCTCATGTGTGTTGATGTTGCCTTCTATGGCCTATCCATGTTGTTTATATCATATTTTATATGTATATACAGTTATGTGTATCATGTTTTTCCTGTATGAACGATGGTTTCGATGTATAAAATCACAATTTCTATTTTGAACTTCTCTCCAGAGTATTTGTTTTGTGGAGCACTAGAATGAAAGGAAACCCGACCCCATTTCCTACTGTATGTTAATGAGATCTCTTTTTCTGTCCAGTGCTTGCTTAATCTTATGATGGAGGTTTCCTAAAATGGGGATCCCCAGAACCGCAGGTTTTAGTTTTCAATACTAAAATGGTCTAATTTGGATGATTTGGGGTACCCCTATTCTAGGAAACTCCATATATCTATTTTAGCAAGACACCTGAGCAGTCTTCAAGTGTTCAAAACCCTGTTCTTTGATGATCATAGGGGGTTATACTACCAAATTAAATGGGGATTAACATCACCCATTACTGTGCGGAAATCCCTTCTACTCACATGACAGCTGGTTAAGATTCGCCCTTATTGGTGGTTGTTGGTGTTTGATAAACCTTCAGGGAAGCCTGATTATTGGGCAAGTAACCAACCGCTGGGAGTAAAAAACGGTTGTACTCCATTGTTCCTCCATTTATCTTGGGTTGATCACCCCAACCTTGTTGATTAAATCACCATTTAGAACCCTTCACAGCATTTCATACCCCTTTTATAAAGCATTAATTGTATGATTATGATTATTATTACTAGTAGTAGTAGTAGTAGCAGTAGTAGTAGTAGCAGTAGTAGTAGTAGTAGTAGCAGTAGTAGTAGCATCATCATCATCATCATCACCATCATCATCATCACCATCATCATCATCATCATTGTCATGTTCATTATATATATATACATACAATATTATTATTATTATTATTATATATATATCATATACCGAATGGATCCCCAGGATCAACGTCCAGGGCGTCTTCATGAAACGCCAGCGGGAAGCCTCGCAGAAGATGGCAGAGCTCATCTGTAAAAACGTGGTGGACGCCAGGGCCATGCTGCATTACATGATGAGATCCCCGAGCTCCACAGGAGACGGGCGTAATCGGCAGGTTTCGTGGGTGGGGATGGGCAGCAATGGTGGCTGTGCAAAATGGATAGCATGTAAGGGCCTACGAAAAATCATGAAGTTATGGTTTATGAACTGAAATTTACCTTTTTTTTGGGGTATGGCTGACATAACCTGATGGTTTATTTGCTAGACTTAAGCCATTTTGTTGGTTATATTTGCGTTGGTAAGCCCAATGCCATAAACCATCCCCTTAACCAACCATTATAGGGGTCATTTTGCATCATCCCAGATAGGGGTATGCCCACGAAGAAATCTCTATTGGGGATGGTGGAAGGGCACTGGGCTTACCCAACGAGTGAATGCTCGGGGAGAATTTTGGGGATGATCATTGGGAGATGATCAAGAACCGGGAACAAAAAGATGCATATATGGGTTTGTTTGAAGATAGAGTCTGAGTATACCCAAGAATAGTCATTTAACTGAGAAAAATGGTGATAAATCTGATAAACCATAAGAATTTGGGGCACCCCATTTTCACAGCATGGAACGTCACGAACAGCTCTTGATCCCAAGTCTAGACCCAATCAATCCCCACAGCCTCAGGCTATAATATGTGTATCTATAGATGCTTTACACAAGCATTGAGAAAAAGTTGTGCTTGATTGATGATCATATATTTGTATAGACTATCTATGTATATATATAGGATTATATAGGCATATATACTATTATATACTGTACACATAACATATGTGACCCAACAACATTCAGTGCCGGCAGTGCTGGAGGAGTTGACAAAGTCTTAGCCATCTATCGGAAACACGTGGACCGTTCAGTGGAACGCAGCATGGGTTTCGCCAGTCGCGTGGCCGTGGTCGCTCCCAGAATCGAAGCGCAGATGGATGAGTTGAAACAAGACGTGGAGGACGGGGTCGAAGCCAATGGCAATGGAAAATACCCTATAAATGATGATAAATGGAACAATGTTTTTGTCTTGATTTCTTGAAATTGGGGACCCCAAATCGTCCAAGACTGGTCATGTTTATATCATTTGGTGCTACTCCAACTTTGAGATATACCCAGATACAAAAAAAAGCAGTCTCAACGATTCTGGTGTAGTATTTGTTCCTTTTTTCCACTTAATTGCGGGGGGGGGGTGTATGATAGTATTCCAGTTACAGTACATATATGAACTAATTTATAAATATATATATATATATACACATGTATTTACATATGTATACTATATATATATATATATGCATACATGCAGTCATATATATATATATATATATATATATGTATTATTAGTATGTGTCTATATATGCATACATAATATATATATACACATATGCATGTTTTCGTGTATATGTGTATACTTATATATATATATGTTTACACTTGTTGTATATGAGGATGAGGATCAAAAAAAATGAGTTCCTATTTATCATTATTTACCATCACTGACCATCATTTAGCAATCAATTTACTATCATGTACTATAGAAGAGACAAAACGTTCACCACCAAGGGATTTCTGAATCACCGAGAATCGTCCAGGACTTCTCCTTGGAGCTCCTTCCGCAACATAGTCGGGCCATCGAGGAGTACATGGACACGGCCATGAACGTGCAGGAGACCTTGACCTGGCGCTTGCAACGGATACCACCACCGGAGTTTGAGAGCATTGTGCATCCCATCTTCCAAGATGATGAATGGAGTTTGGGCTGAAATCATTGGGAAAGTGGAGGTTTGGGCTTCAGGGTGGCTACATCCATTGGACATTAGAGCAAACATGATCATGACACCAGGATGCTGGTTGTTGGTTGACTTTCCGGGAGATCCGTGATGACTTGGGTTTTTTGGAAGGGGAAGGCCTGTTAGGATTGAAGGCCCTTGGGATTCAGTCCCCATGAAATCATCAAGTTGGCCTCCAATTCTGCCCAGGCAAAATCATGTTGCCATATAGCAATCCTCTCCCCTAATCAACACTTCACGCAGAATCCTTAATTTAGTACTGGATTTCTTTGTGTTAAGTTTTCATTCAAAGAGATTCAATCTTTATAAGAAGGGATGAGTTCAGGTCCCTTCAGGTAGCCGGTGCCGAGGATTCTACTGCTGGTGGGTGGCATTTTAGGCGTACTGATCGGTTTGTTGCAGGCTTATGCTCTTCAGCATATCCACTGAAGGCTGAAAGGCGGAGGTTTCACCCAACAGGAACGGCGAAAACGTGGCCGGGCGTCGTGAAAGGAACAGCTGGGAGCCTGGAATGGGTATTTTAGTACTATTTGTGTTTTAAAACATGATTGTATATATAAAAAACAAGTGTATATATTGACTTAATGTTTTTTTCCGTGCATGGTATGTAAGTTTAGTAGCCATGAAACAGGGAATAGCATCTCAATTGTTTGAGGATTTTTTTAAACAAATGTGGAATAGAGTGTAGTTTTGCAGTTTTGGCGGACGCTTATAGCAGTTGAACATGTGGCAACAAACTAACTGCAACAAGTTATATAAAAGGTTAACTCAGCCACAATTGGAAGGAACCCAGATGGACCCAGTACTGCATAAGATGTTTGGAATGTGGGAGGGTAGACTGTACATTTGGAGGAGAAGAAAAAGAAAGACAAGAAAAAGAAGGACAAGAAAAAGGCTGTCAGGGCTGGTGAAGTATCAGCTGGGTCCGTTTTTGTTCCTGTTGTTTTAGAGTAGTAACTAAGTTTGGTGCGTTGGATAACATGAGTGGGTTCAGAGCGGATCAGTTGTTTGGATGGCGCAATTCGCATGCTAAAACCAGAGGTGTCCATTGATTTCCTTTCTATTTAAAAGGTTCCTGGAGACCAGCTCAGTAACCAGCATGATTTGCTAAAGGTCCATGCAAACCAATCAAGTCACCAACCAGGAGAAGAAAAAGAAGAAGTTTGGAGCTCGGAAAGCCGTGTGTATATTTGTGAGCAGCATGGAGTCATTTTGGCGAAACACAAGTTTGATCAGTTTGATCCATTTCCAAGTACGCCCCAAGCCGGCCTTACTTTCCACCTAAGATCAAGGCATATCAGCCACCATCCAACCAACCTAGAAACTCTGAAGGAAGTCCTCTTCATCAAGTTCATCCTCATCCTCGGATTCGGGCCGCTGGTGAAGGGGTGGATTTTCTGAGTTTTTCATTGTTTCAGCCCTGTTTTTTTTCATTTGTTTGGGGAGAAGGGGGTGTGCAACTAAGATCAGAAGATGGGATGGTGTATGATGGTGTGGTATCTGATGGCATGATCCAGGAGTTGCGGATCCAAGATTGGCGATAGGATCAACAAAACTATGCTGAAATCATCTAATTCCATAGATTTGACCTAGACTGACTGATAATAGATTGATAACCCCCATAGATCTATGATAATTGACCTAGGTTATCAACGAAACTATGATAATTCCATAGATCTATTTCAAACCTGACTGATAAGCCCCAATATTCGTCAAACGGGCGTTGATTGAACCCAGGGGTTGACTGATGTTGGCTCGGAGGAAGGGATGGGTTGACAAGACTAATTGCTACACAGTGGCAATAGCTTCAGGGATTTTCTCCAGGAGAACAGAGTGGGACAGTTTTCTATGCATTAGCTACATGAGTTTAGCCTCCTAAGGGGTAGGACACCAAAAATTTGGAGGGGTGGAGGGAGGGTCTAGGTCTCACCAACTGACTTGTTTGGGATTGCCAGCCGAATGAGGCAGCGAAGAAGAAAAAATGACAGAAACAGCAGCAGAGGACATTATATACTTCAGTTACGACACGGATGAGCAAAGGCATTTGCTGACTGGCTGACATAGAAATCATTTTTACCCCCATAACTCCGCCCCCAGTTGTAGGTTGGATTATGTAACTATTACCCATCCAATTATATATAGTTCTAATATCCATAAGCCATAGTTAACGGAGTTATAAATCAACTTGGCCAAGAAACTAGGGCACCACACCTTGTAAATGGCTTATGGATGCTCAAAATTACTGCGTGCCGTGCCTGTGTCCTGGGTTTGACGTCTCTTGAACACAGCTGCAGGAATGCCCCAAAAAGGCAAAGAAAAACGATAACAAAGAGGACTTGGGCCGGTGAAGTTGTAATACAGACAAGCGGGTCCTGAGTCCTAGCTGCTTGTGTTTCTAAGCCACTTGCCTTGCTACCAGCTGGAAGTGCATCGGGAGGCTGAGACATCGGAAAAGAGCTAGAGGATTGCTTTGCCGACAGGTTTGGCTTCTTGAGCGCATCCGGTTTCCAGCAAGACCTCCAGATGGACTGATGTGGTTAGCCGTCTCCATCGACAGCCGGTCCCAAATGGATAAGTGATGACTCCTCCCAAGGCTTCCAACAACCTCCTCAAAAGGCATGTTGATTCAACGGTTGTTGATTCATGTTGATTCTATTTAACTCAAGGCATGTTTTATCAGCGAACCTGCTTGACATCTTTGACCAACTCGATATTGTTTGAAGTAATGCTTCCTTTTTCTCTGTTTTGTGTCTCTAAATACGATGTAATTGCAGGCCTTATGTAATCTTAGGTCCCTTTCCTGGCCTGGATCTTGGGGTCTTGCACGAAAGCGCTGCTCGATGTTCATAGTTCATGTTAAAAGCTGCTTGCGGCCTTCCATGCAGGTGACTCAATGTGGCTGCAGATTAGGATACTTAGATGATCTTAGATGATGCTATGAAAACTGACCAAGTCCTTGCAACCGCATCGTGACACATGCTGATTGAGAACTTTTAGATTTTTCATTTGTTTGGTTCAAGAATGCTGAAGGAAAGACATGTGGGGAAATATTGTTTCTCTTGTAAGTTTTCCCTGCAATTCTCATCAAATCTGGGAGTTTTAGATCCCAATGCCACACTGTGCCACTGGAGCAACCTGTATTCAGGAAGACCAGCTTAGCTGCCACCACATCTCCGCAGTCTCCGCCATTGGCGATTGGAAATAGCATGACTTCCCCTCCGCTCCTCAAAATAACCTGACATGGACCGGGCCTCAAAAGATGGGTGTTGGGAAGTTTGGAAGTCTGAAATTTCGGGAAGCAAGAAGCAGTAAGTCGAAGTGCGCCAACTTTTTTTGGTGGTGTCACAGAGCGCCTTCTGAACTGGAATCGGAGATGTGTGACTTAGGCTGTAGCGTTGATTTTAAGCAGTGAGAGTGAGAAATAAAGACACACTTCGTGCTGCAGCTTGCTGGTGGAAGCAGATGGAGATGATGGATGTCTTTGGTGCAAATGATGCTTTCAACTCACGTTTGCCGAGTGGTTGCCTAGTATTCTAACTTTGATTTGGACCCTCACCAATGTGTGTTTTTGGTTTTAGACACATTATATATATATATGTAGATATGTTAATACATGTTGCTGAATCATATATTATATGTTGTACAAATGTGTACACATTATATACGTATCCGCCAAAGACAGAATTTGAGACTCTGGCAGTTTCACCATAATTATCAGAAGTCAGAGGATGGCAGACAGGAGCAACATATACGCATATATATATATATATACGTCTGTAATGTATCAATGGCCCATTCAGGTACCTAAAATTGAGATACTGTACTACATCAAGCCACAATAAGATATAATAAATTATAATAAGCCATATTTGGGTGGTATATTCACTTAGGCCCAAGTAATAGACCTTAAAGATATGGTACCAATTGAGGTCTCCCAGCTCCAGGCCATGGCTCCTGAAGTTTGCCTCCGCTCCTCCGCGCAGGGTGGTGACAAATGGTGACAAAAGGTGAGCCCGTACTACGGGGGTACCAATGTTATCCAATGTTACTTTGAAAATTTGTGGTGAAACTATGGGGAACATATGGGACAATATAGGAAAATGTTAGTTCTTAAGAGTATTATATAAAGATTTATCATTGAGATTATCACGAAAATAGTGATTTATCACGACCCATTTCGGGTACCCCGCTAGTTGATTAAGAGAGTTTATTTGTCCAGTATAGACATTGGCAGCCTCGCCAAACGGAAAGATCCAATACTAAACCAGGGTTTTTACATATAGGGCGAGTATAATTAGTTGATATTAACTATTTAAGGTGGGGATAGGATTAATTCGTTGCTTCAAAGATATTTGGAGATATTTGGCCTATATTGCCTGTGCACCGTTTGACTCAAGTGCACCTTTCTTGCTGCTGGACTGAGCTTCATTCTATCAGGGGTAAGGTAGATGACCGGCTGGACAACACACCAGGAACAGGAAACACAGCATAAGAAGATGCTAGAAAATAGTATGTGTTTACACCCCCAAGGATCCGACATGAAACCACCATGGCCAATAGCAACATGTTTTTTCCGATCCCGGTGTTTGGGGGAAAAAATGTGGAAAGTCAGGGGGTATTGTGACAAGAAAAGACAGCTGCAACAAGATATATGTGAGTGGAAACTGTTTTGTTTTTGCGAGTGATACATGTTTAATGTTTGCTTTGGCTTCTTCAGGGATCGTGATGTATTGCACTGGTAAGATTTCGGTAGTTGTTCCGATGATGATGATGATGATGATGATGCTGATGATGACGATGACGATGACGATGACGGTGACGCCGTCTCAGGCGTGCCCGAATTACAAAAGAGGGATCAGAGCGTTTCATCGTAGTTTGGCTGGGTCTGAAATATTCCAGAATGAAACCATAATATGTTTGCACATGGAAATGCCAGTTCCACCTAAGATCATTCTACAGATTGGTTCGGAATGGCAATCCCATTCAGACAGTGACGATGATGGGCCTCTACCAGTTGCAGTTGGGTTTGCATCTCATGTAACTGTTGGGGAACCTCAGTTGAGGATAGTTAAAGACTTAAGGGATTTAAGGGTTTTGTTCCAAATTTGCGTTTTAATTCTCCTGCAAGCAGCAAGAAGTTTTAGTTCTCCTGCAAGCAGCAAGAAGGGACCCATCAATGCCAGAGTGCAAGAAACATTGCGGGAGATCCAGCCTTCGCAGAAAAGTGCTGCCTGACTTGCAGTAACGCTGGGAAGAAAACGGGATGGCCATTGAATCCTCACACATATATAATATATATATATATATACATCCTTTTCTTGGGTGGTTGAAGATGTTCATTGTTTGGGGGTTTTGTGTGTGTGTGTGCTTTTTTGGGGTGTTTTGCGGGTGGTGATTTGCCTACATAGTGGTTTATCCGCCCACATGAACCCAAATGAAGTTTTGAAGGGAAAACGTGAGAAACACAGTCGCTGCCTGTGATTCAACCCAAGCAACATTTGTTGGTCCCACTGTCCCACTGACGCATTCGGAAACACTGATCGGTAGACAAGATTGGATCTTGGTTGTTTGATGTTGCTTCTGTTGATCCCAGCTGCTTTGTTTAAGTCGCTTGCCGATTAAAGGGTTCAGTTCCATGCAGGGTTCTGAAAAAGGCGGTCCTAGCTTCAACAAAAACTTCGAAGCCTGGTTTTCATGTCGGGAACTGTAGGTCAACTTCTTCAAAGGGAGCTGGAATTGGAGGTGCTCGGGCCTTCTTTCAGGGCTGAAGATTCGTGACGAAACAGCTAAAGGATTAAAGGTGTGTTGTGTGTTTTTGATGCATGGTTGGCTGCAATCTGCAATCTCTTCAATCATTGCAAGAACTGGCCATTTTGCGGGTAACTGGGAAGATGGTGATGTTGCTGAAAGGTCAAAAAAGGCCAGCTTGCAGAAGATCGTGGGGCACTGATTGACCAGGGTGAAGCAGGGAGAGCGCTCTACTAAATCTCCGGGTAAACTGACTTTGATATGTTTAGTTCCGGCAACACAGTATATACATATCGTTATATGTACAAGTAGACATCATTATGTATATGTATATACAATGTTAGATAATTTACCTTTTGTTTAATAGACATTGCCTACATCTAATCACACTCTGCACATCTTGTTGCAGGGGATCCAAGATGTTAGTCTTGCTCTTTGTCTCCCATAACGAATGGTTTTCATCTTGCAGCGAGCGACCGTGACAGCACAAACTATACAAGATTTGTTGGTGGTTTCCAATGGACAACACTTAAACTCTGTTCCGGCGAACAACGGCGAACAAGGGCACTTCCCAAGATCACATGAATGCACATTAGCATGTCAACTTGGCAAAGGAACAGCACATGCAATATTTTCCAGTTGGCAGCTGTGATTGTCCATTGCCGTGTCCTACTACTAGAGGATAGGTGATACTTGTCTAGACAACATGCAGGCCCAGAAAGCCATTAGCAACACGATCTTCAAATTGACTGGCACCCAATCAGCTTCCACTTTGGATATCACCCGTTTTGCTTCGGAGATGAAACAATCTCAGGTGCATCACTGGAACTCCACATATTGTGTTTTCCCTCTACCATGATATGTTTGTTTTAATGACAATATCATATTACATCATATATGCACATATATATATATATGTGAGAATCATGTCGAATTTATTCTATCAAATCAGCATATTTTTCATATATGTCATATATGTGAATAAGTTAATGTAATACATGTCATATTTCATATATTTCATACATGTAATGTCATTCATGTCATATTTCATACTTCATATATTTCATATATGTCATATATATATATGAGAATCATGTTGGGTTTATGTTGAAATTTAAGGCAACTGCTTGAAACGGCCAGGTGTCGCCAAAGCGTGGGCTTTTGAAACCGATGGAAACCGCTGTCCCCGAGGTCATGGAGCTGAGAAAGAAGCCCTGGAAGCTTCTCTCAGGAACGTCATGACGTCATGCTGCTTTGGTATTTAAAAAAAATGATTTTGCCAAGAATAAATTTGGGACAATCATCTACTAACACGAAAAAGAGAAATATGTTCTTTAAAGATCTATAAATGGCAAACCCAATGCCATAAACCTACCATTTGGGGATGGTGATCTATATCACCCGGAAAGATGGTGAGTTTATGGATGGTGTATTATAGGGCTTACCACGGTAACAACATCTAACTGCGTAATACCCATGAATCACAATGATATAGCTAGTTATAAACCAACTTAACCAAGTATGGGGCCCTATATCTGGAATGGGAGTGTAGCCAACAGGAGTTGCTAACCCAACTGGTGGAGGGCAAGTGGATGAACAGAATTTGAGCTTTCAGGGATAGGCATCAGGTCAGCTGCAGTGCAAGACTGTATTTGTGTGTGTGTAAACATGAATGTACTGTATGTCAAAATACAATAACATACAATAACAATAAATACATAATAATAATCGTTATCATAAAAATACACATCACGGTGTTGTAAGATTAAAAGGGCTTAAAAGGGTCCCCTGAGTGTCTGATCTGGGATCCAGCCAGGAACACCCATGCTCAAGGGCAAAAGGATCAACATCAGGTGCGGAGCCGATGAAGGATGCCCTGCAAAGTGTTTGTAGGGAAG